AGGAGAAAGCTCTGTCGTTACTTCCTCCATTCCGCAGATGAGGAAGCTAAGTCACAGACAGCCGAGGTCACCCGCCCGGGGTCCCACAGCTCATAAAGGGTAGCCCAGGAAGTTGAAACCAGGCGGGTCGGCTGCAGGAACCTGAGTGCAAGGTGGCTCTATTGGGGCCGCGGCCTCCAGCGGGGGAAACAGCCTCCTGAGCCACTCTGGGTGGCCTGACCCTGCCCGAGGTGGGCCCACGCAGGGTGGGGTGGCTGGAGCCCGGCGGGGAAGGGAAGGAGGGAGATGGCCTTGGCAGGGGCAAACAAGAGAAGCAGGTCGATTTGACTCTACCTGAAATGGAATGCTATTGACGCCGCCTCGCTGTGGTGGAAGCGGACACGGCGCAGCTGGAGCCAGGCGTTCGGGGGTCAAGGCCACGGTGTATTTTAAGATGGCTGGAGACGGTGTAAGGTGCAGGTTTCTGGGCTTGCTTCCAGAGATTCTATCTCAGCAGTTCTGGGCAGGGGCTCTGGGGCCGCCTTTGAAATTCTCTCCAACACACGCATACCCGCTGGGAGCCCCTGGACAAACTCCTGCCCCCAGGAAACCGAAACTCCCTATGGACACCAGGACCCTCCTTCCAGAGGAAGAACCGTTGAGCTGCTCCCTTATGGAAGACAGTTCCAGAACTCGGGAAGGTGAGGACAAGAATTTCAAGCCAGAGGGGAGATATGAAGGAAGGCTCAGAAGCCCGGAGGTGGAAATTGCAGACCAGGGCTGAGCTGGAGGGGACTTCGGGGTGACTGGATCACAGAGGGAAGGAAGAGGTGAAGCGAGGCTGGGTCATAAGTTGGGGTTCCTTTGAAGCAGCCACAGACCCGGGGAGCGGCTGTGGGCACAGCTGAGACTCTGGTTTGGTTGGTGAACTCTGACCTTCCTATCACTGCATTTTCAGGGTGGGCCGGACTGGGCACTCCGCACATTCCAAGCAGTGATGGCATTTGATCTCTTTTGTTTTGTTTTGCTTGAGACAAGTTCTTGCTCTGTCGCTCAGCCTCCCAGGTGACTGGGACCCCAGGTGTGTGCCACCATGCTCAGCTCATTGCTTTATTTTTTTGTAGAGATGAGGTTTTGCTATGTACCCTAGGCTGGTTTCAAATTCCTGGGCTCAAGTGATCCTCCTGCCTCAGCCTCCCAAAGTGCTGGGATTACAGGTGTGAGCCACCCCGCCTGGCCACGTTGGATCCTTTTCACAGCCCTATGAGCAGATGCAATAACGGTCACCTCCGTTCCGTAGATAGAATGACTGGGGCTCAAGTCAGACCACGTGATTAGCAGAGGCTAGGTCTCTTTGGGGACCAAGTTTTCAGATAATAAAAATAGTCATACTGAAAGTAACACAAACCCACCTCACTTATCCAAATTCTGAAACCCAAAAAGCTCTGAATCCCAGAATTTTCTCATCACTTACTTGGTATCAAAGCCTGCCCTGGAATTTTTGGCAGCAGAAAAAGTTTCTCTGGAGCAAATCTTCATTTGTGTTCCTTAGGGTGAGCATCCGTCTGTTTCACAGGTTTGAATATGTGACACCAGCCTGGCTGCGCTGGGAGGGTTGCAATCACAGATGATATTCTATATTCTCACCCAATTGCCCTTCTAAAATCCGCAGAAGGGCTCAGTCTTTTGGCAGAAGGGTGGTCTTTGGCCCTTCTGGGAAGACCCTGCTGTCGGCCGGGGGGAGGTCAGGAGCCCCCATTTCTAGTTCCCATCCCACCACTCCGGCCGGTTTCTCTCTGTGGCAGAATGGGAGAGGCTCCCAGGTGAGGCTGTGGGGCAGGTGAATAAGACAGTCCCTGCATCAAGCCCCCTGCACAAAGGGAAGCTGTCGGCCACCCTGTTCCTGGGACCGACAGCCCTTGGGGAAGTGTTGGTCTTGTTCCCCCGTGGGAAGGAGATTTGGGTCCCAGTGGTGGCCTGCTCCACCACCAGACTCCCACCTTGGCCTCATTTTTCTCTTTGCAAAGCATGAGGACTGGGAGCCGAGTTCAGCTGGCCCCGCACTGGGGCCTCATGGGACACCCTAAGCCGGACACAAGGCACTTTCTCAGACCTGGCCCACCAGGCCCCCCGGCCCCCAGGTCCAGGAAGAGCTCTGAGCACCCCCGGCTCCCACTGGTGTGTGGGCAGGCCGGGCTCCTCACTTGCCATGACTATTCCTGCTTTTCGGGGTGGGGAGCAGGGGCCTTCCCAGAGCCTCGATTCCCACGGGTGGGGGCCTGGGGGAGGCTGCAGTGGGCACTGAGCAGGCCTGAGGAGGCCTCGAGCCCCCGGCCCCCGCGCCACCCGCCGTCCAGGCGGCCCCGGAGCCGGCTGCGGGCAGCAAGGGCCGCGGGGCCCCGCGCTCAGTGTCTGCCCCACTCAAACCCCAGGGTGGGGAGGGATTTCCATGGGGCTTACGGTGATTTATAATGGGAAACCTCCGCTTTCCTCACACATTGTTCTCCCTGACAGAGGGAAGAAAGAGGGCAGTAAATCTCCTCTCATCATCGTAACGATGAAGCCCGCGGCGTCCCGGCCCCATCCCCATGCCCTCCACGACAACAAAGTGCTCTATTGTGATCTATTACATTTTTCTCAAAAAACCTTCAGCCGAGCACAAGGCCAGCGCCATATCCTGCACTGGCTCTCCCTCATTGTCCCCGCCGAGGGAAACGGAATGTGTCAGTCTGAGTAATGCGCCTTCAATGCTTCTCAGGAGCCGCTGGCTCGGCCGGGATAAAGCCGCCCGCATCCTTTCTCAGGCCCGGCCGGGGATGAAAGCTGCCCGCGCCACCGGGCAGCCACCGCGCCACCTGGTCCACGGGCCGGGGCCAGTTTGGCGGACAGGGCTGGTGGCCGGCCCCTTCCCTGCTCCCACCCCCCACCGTGGGTCCAGGGGTTACAATGGGGGCGGGGGTACTCGGAGAGGGGGAGTGGGAGCAACAGGGAACCAGCCCTCAGGAGCTGGAGGGGAAACTGGGGGGAGGACACTCAAGAGCTGGGAGGAAGCAGGTACCAGGGCGTTAGCCTGGCCACAGTCCTGGGGCAAACCCACCCTGCTCTGCCCTGTCCCACCTGGCCCCAGCCCCTGCCCCGCTGTGACCAAGAGGCAGCAGCAGCTTCCACCAGCGTCTGAATGACAAAGCCCTTACACACACCCTACCCGTGACTTCCATGTACTTGGCTATCAAAATCAAAGCCGGTTACCTACACCTCGTCGTTCATTCATACACTCTCATGCATTCATTCCTACTCTGCCCACTGCTTGAATGAGGGGGACGTGGGCGGGTGCAGGCGGGGGAGGGGGTGAAAGGGACTCTGCCCGCAGCTTGGGTGGCGCCTGACGCTGTGATCCCCAGCAGAACCTGCTCCAGAGCCGCAGGGCCGCATGCAGAGTGAGGATGCGGACCCCTGCATTTCCCAAAACTGCTGAAGGCTGTTTCGCCATGGCTGCAAAGCACTGAACCAAGCACTGACATCTTCTGAGGCTGGCCCTGTGTGAGCGTGCCAGCCAGCTGGTGACACTACCCTGCACTTGGTGACTCTCCGTTCCCTCCACGTGCTAGGACTCGGCCCAGGCAAGGATGTTGACTCCAGGTTGGGGGGAGTCATCGGCCTGGGACTGAGTCTGGCCTCCCTCTTGCTGGTCGGGTGAGGCTGAGCCTACACACACTTGACAGCTCTGGAAAGTCAGGCGTTCAACCAGACAGCCTCGAATTCCTCCAGCCCAGCTCCACACCCAGCTCCACACACAATGCAATGTTCACTCCATGACTGCCATGGCCCCCTGATCTGCAGTTGTGCACCAGTGATTGAGGGTTTGCAGTGGTAAGGGCCTTAAAGGCCACCCCAGCCAAGTGCTTTATTGATTAGATGGGGAAACTGAGGCCCAGAGTCCGTCTCCAGCCCCCGTGTGGCTCCTTGCCTGCCCTCATGAGCCTCCCCTCCTAGGAGCGGCATGCCGCGAGGGGCATGCCCAAGTCTCCTCTCCAACTGGTCTTCAGCAGCTGGACCAGAGCAGAGCTGACCCAGTAGCAAGCCTGGGTTGCAGAGTTGCACATGGTCCCCAGACCTCTGCAGTCACCACTCACTGTGCCTGGAGGAAGAATAAGGCCAGTCTTCCGGAGAGCCGGGCCCTGGAGGAACCCAAGAAGAAGAGCAGCGTCCTTTTCCTGGGGAACCCAAGACTCCACGCCAGGGCCTCTGGGCCAGTGTGGACCCTCCGCAGCAGGACACAGCATTCTCACCGGGCTTCAAGCCTGAGATGCTGGGTGAGAGAGCAGAGGCACTGTGGCAGGTGGGAGCTTGCCCCAAGCTGGTACCTTCTTGTGGAAGAATTGAGGGAGCAGACTGAGTACAAACACCCTACCCAGCCATGCCTTTTGTGAAAGGACTCTGCAGTGTCTCCCATTGAGAAGGAGGGTATGTCTCCCCACCCTGAACCTGGACTTGATGTACGACTCACTGACCAACAGAATATGATGGAAGTGGCAGAGTGCTGATTCTAGCCCAGGGCTCCAGGGGCCTTGCATGCTGCCCTGTGGTCTCTCGTGCCTCCACACAGCCCTGGCAGCCTACAAGAGAATGACGAATTTATGGAGCCAAGCCAAGCTGATCCAGATAGTCCAGCCAAAGCCCAGAGATGAGAGTGAACCCAGGCAGCATCAGTGAAGCTGCCTACCTGACCTGCAGCTGATGCTGACCACACCAGTCAGCCCAGCCCAAAGCAGAAAACCGCTAAGCTGAGCCCTGCCTCACCTGCCAAGCTAAAGATTCGGGCATTGTTTTAAGCCCTGTGTTTTGGGATGGTTTGTAATGCAGAAATTAATTGCATCTAAGGTGCCAGGCAGCTAAGGAGGCCACTGTTCCCGCAGTTGCTGCCTTTTGCTCTTTTCTCTAGCATTAATTCTTTCCCTGCCCCCCAGAAGCTCAGCTCAACTACCCCCTTCCCTGGAGCCTATCCTGGTCACGATGGCCCCCTCTCCAAATGCCATCGCACTGGGGGTTAAGGCTTCAACATGTGGATCTCGGGAGGAGACACATTTGGTATGCAGCAAGCGTGCAGACTCAAACCTTCATCTTAGGCTCTAATGCGCCCAAACCCAGCAGCCTGGAGGGCATGCAAGGGACTCCTGGGTGAGTGAGGACACGTGTCAGGCTCAGGAGCCAGTCCCTGGGTTTGTCTTGCCATCCTTCGCCCACCTCTTGACCTTGAATGAACTTCCTGACCCAGAATGTGGGGATTGAGGCCTGGGAAGGTTGAGGGAAGCATTGAGGCAACACCTGTCATGTATCCAGCACTCCATAGGTGCACAGACAGTGCGACCAGGAGGCCCCGGCCTTCACCTGCAAATACGTTTCCATGACTTCAGGCGGGAGGCAGTCAAGGGGCTTTCCCGCCTCCCTTCCCTGGGGCCCTGCCTGGCGGTCCCTGGAGCCTGCCCCTTGGCTTCTGCCTTGCCCCTCCTAGGCAGCCAGCCTGTCCCAGAGTCCCCACCCAGGCCTGGCGCCGGCAGGCAACAGACGCTTGCTGGTGGGTGGTCAGGAGCGCGTGCCCGGGAGAGCTGCCTCCACACCATCCACTGATCTAATCAATACCCCGCTCCTCCCGAGACCGCGATCACAGGCCCATCCAAGCGGGGGTCTGGCTGTGACCCCTTCTTCACCCCGGACTTCCCTCATGACCGCCAGCTCCCCCTCCCCTCTCCCCAGCCCGCCAGGGTGGGCCGCTGGGAAGAAACCCACCTCCGACGTGGACCCTGCACACAGGGAGTTGTGGGCCTGTCAGATTGGGTCACCCGAATCAGCGGTGATGATAAAACCTGTCCCTCCAAATTAGGCCAGAGCCCCGGGAGCCCTGCTGATTACAGCCTGTGCACTGCTTACAAAGGGTCCCTCGAGGGTCATTAATATGGATTGAGGACCATTGTTTTCTCAAATTAGGCCACAGGGAGTGCTTCTTGGGGAAGCACATAGCGGGTGGCACGGCCGAGGGTTCCTGGGTTCCCGCCCAGGGTCCTGCGGGGCCAGGCTGGCGGCTGACGAGGGAGAGGCCACACCATTCCCAGGCCGAAGGCTCAGGCTTGGGGGTGAGGCCAGGGGCCAGTGGGCTTCCCCAGCTCACCTGCAGAATGTTCTGGAGAAGTAAAAGCGTCCCCCTGAGTACCCGCAGGGCCCTCGTGAGAATTCGTAACTCACACAGAGGGTCTTGCTGTCCGCAAAGCATCTTAGATTCTCAATGCCTTTCAACCTCCAGCACCCTGGGAATTCTACTCCAATTCATAGTATGAGAAACTGAGGCTCCAGAAGGTCCAAAGGTCGTCTAGTTAGTTCACAAGCTGGCATGCAGGTGCCCCTCCTTCAGCTCGTGACATGCCACTTCACCATGGGACCCACTGCCCGCGTTCAAGAACAGGGATGGCCCAGGTACATGGGAAGCATGTGTAACCATGACGACAGCCACAGGCCGAGCACACGGAAGCCTTCCGATCCTACAGGACTTTCCCCTCCCTGCCCTCTCACCTGACTCGTAGCCCAGTAGCCCGGGGCTTCACTGGATCCGGACACTTGTTCACACGTTCACCACACTTTGCAGTTTATCATGTAACGTGGCTCCTTTATTTCCCGTGAGCTTTGCAAGAGATCAGTTTTTTCAGGCTGAGTTCATTGATGACACGGTGTTATCTCCATCCCAGGGAGAGGAGGCTCCAGGAGCCAAGGGGTCCTCCCAGGCTGTCACAATCTGGCTGCCCGTGGGGAAGAGCAGGGGTCAAGGCTGAAGGGATGAAGACCCCGACCTTGCCATCGCCTGGCTGAGGTTCGGTGGGGCAGAAGGACTCGTAACCAGCCACCCAGCACCCCGTGGGGGTGAAACTCGGCTCAGAAAAGGAATGGGCCCCGAGCTGCCACAGCCCGGGGTGAGAGGGTCCCTGCCCAGGACTTTAACGGGCAGGATGTGGGAACAGCAAGGCAGCTATGACATTTGTGGAGCCCTGTGCAAAATGAAAATGCGAGACCCTCCTTCTGGGACAATCGGAGCATCCGACCACGTGCAGGGCCCTTCTGAGCACATGGCCTCTGCGTGGGGAGGGATCATTCCATACCTGTCTGACAAGCACACTGGGTGCAAGTCCTTTCTCTGTGGGTGGGGGAGGGGCTGCTAACAAATGAATAACAAGATGGCTGCAGATCACGCCACTGCGCCATAGAAGTAGATGGCAGGGGTGAGACAGGATGTTGCTGGGGGACTCCTTAGTGAATGGGATGATCAGACAAATGGAGGCTCCTAGAGGGTGAGGGCCAGCCATTCAGGGCAGGGAGACAGGAGGCGGGAACAGCCCCGCAAGGGAGCGGAGGCTGGAAAGTTGCTGCTTGGTCCTCCGTCCTGCTGGCTCCCTGCACAGGCAGCGAGAGGGATCTGAGTCCCCACCCCTGGGGAGGCCCTGCACCCGCACCCCCATGCCTGTGCAGAGCCCAAGCCTCCGCTAGTCTCTGGGGACCTGCCTCCTGCACCCTGACCGCCTGCTCCTGTTTTTCCTCACTCACTTCTCTGCTCGGGGCTGGCTGGTGTCTTCCCTTCCCAGATGAATGTTTTCACATTTCACAAAGGAGTACGTTCCCAAAAAACAGCAAGCAGGCCAGGCGCGGTGGCGCACGCCTGTAATCCCAGGAGGCAGAGGTGGGTTCGATCACGTGGGGTCAGGAGTTTGAGACCAGCCTGGCCAACACAGTGAAACCCCATTCCTACCAAAAAACACAAAAATTAGCCGGGTGTGGTGGCGACACCTGCAATCCCAGCTATTCAGGAGGCTGAGGTTGGAGAACGGCTTGAACCCAGGAGGTGGAGGCTGCAGTGAATCGAAATCATGCCACTGCACTCTAGCCTGGGCGACAGAGTGAGACTCTGTCTCAAAAACAAACACGCAAACAAAGAAACCAGCAATCAGATGGCAAGATATCATAATATGCTCTTAAGTGAAAATATGAATTTACAAAACAACACTGTGATGCGATTTAGCAAAAATGAGTGGGGGCCAGGCGCAGTGGCTCACGCCTATAATCCCAGCACTTTCTGAGGCCAAGGCGAGTGGATCACTTGAGGTCAGGAGTTCGACACCAGCCTAGCCAATGTGGTGAAACCCTGTCTCTATTAAAAATAAAAAAACTAGCTGGGCATTATGGCGGGCACCTGTAATCCCAGCTACTCGGGAGGCTGAGGCAGGAGAATCACTTGAACCGGGGAGGCGGAGGTTGTAATGAGTTCAGATTGTGCCACTGTACTCCAGCCTGGGTGACAGAACGAGACTCCATCAAAAAAAAAAAAAAAAAAAAAAGGGAGAGAAAAGAAAAAGCAAGCGGGGATATATGTGTGGAAGGACTTAAAAAACACTGGAAGGAACATCTAATGTGAGCTCTGATCGTCTCTGCAGAGGCTGCTTGTGCTGTTCCAACCCTTCTGCTATCTGATTGCTTTTGTAATCAACACGTGTTACTCTCGCGAGCAGATAAACGCCCTGTTGTGCACATTTGGGATGAGAAAAGGGTGCTGCAGGTGAGGAGAAGTCAAAGGGGCAGGGCGGGCCAGCTTCTCCGGCTGATGTGGCCTCTTCTCCTCGCCTCCCTGCCTGGCCGCCTGGAGCCTGATCTCAGCCTCCAGCCACTCGGCTTGCACTCTCAGCCTCTCCTTCCCCAGAACACCCGCCCACCTTCCCCTTCCCTCAGGATCGGCCGCCTCCAAACCTCTGTCCATGCTGGGTCCTCCTCCGGGCCACCCTCTTCTGCCCAGCTCAGCAGGTGCACGTCTTCCTAGCCTGGGGGTCCTGCTCAGAAGGCAGCTCTTTCAGGAAGCCTCTGCGGGTACCCTGGCTGAAGAGACCCCATCTTCTCTGGGCTCTCCCGCTGCCTCCTCTCTGGTGAGCTGCCTGCTCCCTTCCTTGAGTCAGAGTTCAAGGTGTGGCTTCTTGCCTGTGAGGGCAAAGTCTGCCACCGACTCCTCTTCCTGGCTGTCAGCTCTGCTCAGTGGGCGGGTGCTCAGTAAACATTACTAAACTCATTAGCCCCCTTTGGGCAAACGGGACAGCGGGGTGAGGCCTGGCGTGGCTGGAAAAGCAGTCTGGATGCCCCACTTGTGGCTGCCTCAATGGCTTTATCTGACAGCTGTGGGCACCAGGACAAAGCGGCGTGCCCTGGCTGCCTCGGCCTCCTCCTTTCTCCCCGGGGCAGGCAGGGTGACATGGCGTGCCTGGGCCACACCAAGAGCTCAGGCCGGAGCCAGCAGTCAGCTTGTAACACTGGCGAGGGCCCTTCTGTAGGTCTGACCCCCAGCACGTCCCAGGACCCTGCTGGCTTCCCAGGGAGAGTTCCCAGGAGTCTGGGCTGGCGTGGAGAGGGGGCACTGGTTGTGCGGCTGCTGATGTCACGGGCACCCAGAACCCTGACCAGAGTCGTCCCCTTGGCATGCTGGCAAAAAGTCGCTCAGACAGGGCTGCAGGGCTCTCAGATCCTTTGTATCTTCTTCTCTGAGTCTGAGTCTTGGGGAAATTGGGAAGCCCTCTGGGAGCTTCCCTTCACCTGACAGTCCCACCCTCAGGATGGAGCTGAGGTGGAGTCTGCACCCCTAAACCTGCTTCTCTGTGAAACAGGAAAGTTCTGCAGATGGCATCACCCAGACTCAATTCCTCCTCCCCGCTATGAATTGTGGACCAAAGTGTTCAGGTCACCACAGTGATGACTCCCGCGCTGAGCTGGCGCTGGGCAGGATCAGCAGCTTGGATGGAACGCCGACCAACGCAGCCCCACAGGCAGGGGCCCTGCTGACCTCATGGCGCAGAAGAGGCTCAAAGAGGTCAGGGGCTGCCGAGGGCCTGTGGACAATGTGGTGTGAGGAGGGGATGTGATGTGGCACGGGCCTCTCCGACTCCCAAAGGAACCCTCAAATCACCCTGGTGCCACCCAGCCCGGGGACAGAGGGGACAGAGGGAACAGAGGGGACAGAGCCATGCTGAGTGCACAGCGCACTAGTAACCGTGTGCCAGGTGCCAGGCACCTGCAGTGTGCTGGGCATGGGGCTGTGCTGGCAACACCGTGGGCAGCATGTCCGCACCAAGCCCTGGACCAGCTTCCCTCCTTCTGCCCTCACAGCAACCCCTGGGGCAGCCAGTGTTACTAGATCCCCATTTGACGTGTGAGGAGGTGCCAGGAGGCTGTGTCACTCTGCCGATCTAGCAGTCCACACATCAGAGTCCATGCTCTGCCACCATTAGAATGGGGCTTACAATGGCTGCCCCACTCAGCTCAGGGGCCCCCACCAGAAGCTCTCAGGCCATACCCTGGGACTTCAGATACACTCCCGGCAAGTGGCAGGGGGCCCTGAGAGGTCCAGAGTCCAGCCAACTTTGGGTCTCCTAGGCAAGAGGAGCCAGACCTCTCACACATACCCTCGAACCCAGCAGTCACCCCAAGAGGATTCTCTGATAGTCCAGGCTGATGCAGCTCACCATGGCAAAAGACCTTCCCTGAACCAGATCTGCACATAGAGGACCATGCAGCCCTCTGGGAATGCTGAGGCTGGGGACAGCCATGGACACTAGAGGTCCTGCTCCGTAACAAGTGCCATCCACGGGGAGGAGCCAAGCCCGAAGAACACCTCAAGGTAAGAGGGAAGAACTCTGTGGGGCAGAGGGCAGCCTGAGCATCTGCTAACAGAGGGGCTTACATGGAGGCCCTCGAGACACCTGGAGGAGATCCCTACAGAGGAAGGGCTAGATCAGGCTCCATCCAGCATGTAAGGTCTCTACCAGCTTGGAGATTGTAAGCCCTTTAGATAGGGAGGGAGAAGATGGGCAGATGGATGGAAGGCTGTGTGGATGGAAGGTTGGATGGATGGATGGACGGATGGGTGAATGGGTGGATGGATGGATGAGTGGTGTATTAGTCTATTCTCATGCTGCTAATAAAGACATACCTGAGACTGTGTGATTTATAAAGGAAAGAGGTTTAACGGATTCACAGTTCCACATGGCTCTGGAAGCCTCACAATCACACAATCATGGCGGAAGGCAAAAGAGAAGCAAAGCCATGTCTTACATGGCAGAAGGCAAGAGAGCATGTGCAAGGGAGCTCCCATTTATAAAACCATCAGATCCTGTGAGATTCATTCACTGCCATGAGAACAGTATGGGGGAAACGGCCCCTATGATTCAGTTATCTCCACCTGGCCCTGCCCTGGACACGTGGGGATTATTACAATTCAAGGTGAGATGTGAGTGAGGACACAGCCAAGCCATATCAAGTAGCTAGATGGATGGATAAATGGATGGATGGATGAGTGGTTTGATGGATGGATGGATGGATGGATGGATGAGTGGATGGGTGGGTGGATGGATGGATGGATGAATGGATGCATGGGTGGATGGATGAATAGGTGGATGGGTGAATAGCTGGTTGAATGTATGAGTGAATGGACGAATGAGTGGATGGATGGGTGGATGAGTGAATAGATGAATGGATGATTGGATGGATGAGTGAGTAGATGGATGGGTGGATAAATGGATGGATGGATGAGTGGATGGATGGATGGATGGATGGATGGATGAATGGATGCATGAATGGATGGGTGGATGGCTGGCTGAATGGATGAGTGGATGGATGGATGAGTGGATGGATGAGTGGATGGGTGGATGGGTGGATGAGTAGATGGATGAATGGATGAGTGGATAAATGGATGTGTGGTTGGATGAATGAGTGGGTAGATAAGTGGATGGATGGATGGATAAATGGATGGCTGGATGAATGGAAGAAAGGAAGAGAGAGAAGGAAGTTACACTGATTGATTTATAGTTTTAGTCTTACCAGAAAGTTCTGCAGACTGTGTTGCTTACAAACAGATGTTTCTTCCCTCACTGTCCTGGAGGCTGGACATCTGAGATCAAGGTGTGGCAGGGCTGGCTCTTCCGCAGTCTCTTTCCTTGGCTCGTAGACAGCGTCTTCTTCTTGAATTTATACAGGGTTGTTCCTCTGTGTGAGTCTGTATCCTAATCTCCTGTTATGAGAATGCCAGTCATATTGAATTAAGGCCCACCCTAGTGGCCTCCTTTTAACTTGATTACATCTCCAACATTCTATCTCCAAGTAGTGTCACATTCTGAGGTCCTGGGGGTTAAGACTTCAACATATGAATTGTTGGGGGACATGATTCAGCCCATAGCACACAGCTATCACAGGTACTTCTGAGGTCCATGGAAGGAGAGACTGTGGATACTCATTGCTCCCCAGAGTCCCAGCAACGCTGCTCAGTGCAGGTCTGTGCAAGGGAGGATGGCCATCTGCTTCCACAGTCTGGAGTCCCCTTCTTTCCTTAGTCAGGACTCCGGGTCCTCTGTTCCGTGGACCCCTCTTCCCAAACTCCTCTCTGGCCAGGACTTACATGCTGGAGGCCACAGCCTGGAGTGGAATTCCACTTCCTCCACTTATTAGCTGTGTGTCTTTGGGCCTGTTACTTAACCTCGCTGTGCTTCAATTTCCTTCTCTATAAAGTGGGATCGTAATATGTCCTACCTCATAGGTTTTTATGAGGATAAAATGAGGGACACTCATGCGATATTGGAACAGTGCCGACCCCCAGCGGGCACTAGGTTAGTGTTTGCTAAATAAATGAAGAAACCAACTCCATGGTTAGGCTGAAGGTAGAAGAGCATTGAGACTTGTCTGTGAACTTGGAGCTCAGAGGGCTGTGGGCTCAGAGGAGGGGAAGGGCCTGCTGTGGTCAGACCCATGTCCGGAGGGGGCTTTTGCTTAGCAGGGGCTGCTGGCCAGGCAGCCCCAGCCGCACCCCATTTTATGCATATTAGAGAGAAATCCAAGCGTGAGGGTCTGCAATTGTCCCGTTTGTTTACAGCATTTGTTGGAGCATATTTCTGGCAAGGAAGCTGACAATAAACCAAGGCTCGGGCCGGCCCGGCTGGCGAGCAGCAAATGAAGACAGCTGCCGAGGCGGGTGCCTCCCGGTGGGCTGGGGCCGGAAACCAGGGGCTCTGTCTCAGGCGCTTCAAAGAAGAGCCTTTGTCTGGGGCAGCCGAGCCAAGGGCTTTGCGGGGGGCGGGCAGGCTGGGGCTCTGGGTGATGCCCGACTCACTCCTCGACCCCACTCGGGCAGCTCCCGTTCCCTGGGTCTCAGGTTCCCAACTGTGAAGTAAAGGGGAGCTGGGAGCCTAGGTGCCTGCCGTGAGCCCCACACTGGTTCCTGGGAAGGGAGGGTGCTCTCTGGGTGCTGCCTAACTCCTCAGAGCTTTCATTCTGCAGCTTCGGGACAGAGACTCTCAGAACACTCAGCCAAGCAGCAGGCAGGCCAGGGCATGGCCTCCAGGCAGGAGGTCACAGGAGGAGGAGAGGCATGGCCGTCCGGTGAGAGAACACAGAGGTTCTGTGGGAGAAGGGAGGGGCAGTCCTGGCACGGGGGCACACATTTGGTGAGGCCTGGCAGAACGGTGGGACTTCTGGCGGCCACTGGGCCTGCGCCCCTCCCTTGGGCCCAGAACTCCATGCACCTGCTTCTGGTCTCCCTCCAGAAGGGTGTGTCTGCACATCCTGGCTGAATGGTGTCTCTAGGGCAGGCTGAGAGGCTGCAACTTCAGGTGACTCCCCTGCCTCCCAAGGACAGTTACTGAAGGCATTTTCACAAAGGACGCCTCACCAAGGCACAGTTTTTAAGAACCTCTAATGTGCAGTGGGTGTTTTTCAGGCACTAGAAAAGGCCCTGCAGTTTCTGTAAGGAGAAACCCCTCTGCCTCTGCCAAGGGGGTGGGCACTGTGTCTCATCTGCCCATGCAGCTGCTGAGCCTGGCCAGTGGACAGCACTCGGCTATGGGTGGCCCTGGGCAGGTTCCCTGGGCTCCTGGGGCCTCGTCTGCAGTCT